AGTTTTTTTTAATTTAATTTTTTTCAAATTAAAAAAAATGCCATTTTTTTTTGCCAGAACCGTATTAAGTTATTTAAATAAAAAATAAATAAAAAAAATATAAAATTTTTTTAAAATAGATTTTTATAAATTAATATTATAATTAATAAGAAAAAACAAAATTTTTAATGTAAAAAAAGACAATTTTATTTTTTATAAACTTTAAATTATCAAATACGTATTATATTTAATTTCAACAAATGTTCTTATAACATTATTAAAATCATTTTCTTTTATAAATTTCAATTTATCAAATTCAAAATATTGAATAAAAAAAAAAAATTTTTTTACTGGTAGCATGCTGTGAAATTTCGGGCTTAATTAATATTAACAATGTATTATGATAAAGATTTACACCGAATTTAATTATAATGATGACGCTAGAATCATTGGAAGAGAGATTTCATCACGCTTTTCTTTGCCCAGAAGTTGTTCAACGATGGTTAACGCAAAGAGGAACGCAGTACCGGGTCCACGACTATTTCATAAAATACAAAGACAACTTAATACATAGTTTGTTATAAAAATGAGATAAATCAAGTTTACCTGGTAATAACATTATTATCGATCACAACACGATCTTCTTGATAATTGTATTCTAATTATTTTCAATGAAATTAGCCGAAAATTTCTAATATAACAAAAAAAAAAAAAAAAGTTTAAAGCGAAACCATTCTCCAAATCTGCCTTTGCTACCGGATGAGATGTAATCATTCCTCCTTTATTGATATTTGCAGTCTTTATCGCCAATGGACCTGTTGAACAATTGAGTTATTTTTTTATAAAAAAAAAATTTTTGAAATTTTCAAATATACCAGCGCAAATTGCGGCAACGATTTTTCCAGATTTATGAGCAGAGGCCAACAAGCTTTGAACATCTGGATTTGATGATATGGTCTTCGCTCCCTCAAGACCACCGGGGACAACAATTGCATCAAATACTAATTTCTCCTTTAAAATACATCAAATTTTGTTATTTCATTAATTATAAAATTTACTAAAAAAAAACATGAAATACATACAATATCGAAAGCGTTCGAGATTATAAAATCGGGCACAATTTTGACGCCTCTGCTGCATGTCACGAATGAACTATTTTCTGCCGCGATTCCAACCACCGAAACTTCAAGTTGAGCGCGTCGCAGAATGTCAACTTGATTCACCAATAAAAAGATTTAGTAATTATAATAACATTCCAAAACGAGGAGCAACATACTTGAAATTACTGCTTCCATTTCCTCTGAGCCATTTGCCACGAACACGAGAACCTTTTTCTTTTCTTGAGAAGTCATTTATAAAATTGATCATAAAACCGCAAAATTAACTTTGTGCACGGCACCCTTTTTTTCTTAATAATAATTTAATAAGTCAACTAGCTGCCATTTAAAGTGGTGCTAAAATTATATGACAAAAATTTGAAATTGTATGTTAGCTTTTATATTATTTTTTTAAATAAACAAATACTGTATATAGATATACAGTCTGGTGCAAAAGTCTTTAAACTAATTTTACTTTTTAATTTTATTTATAAATCAACAATTAATTAATAAAATACAATAAAAATTTGAATATATAATTTAAATTTAAAATTAAAAGTATATTCAAAATTCTATTATATATTATGAATTATAAAAAATTGATAAAATTATTTTTATACTTGGATTTGTTAAATAAAAGCAAAAAAAATCAAAAAATAATTTTTTATAATTTTATTATCAATTAAAAATTTTTTTAAAAATAAATTAAATGAAAAATTTTATAATAAAATCAATTTTTTAAGAAGTTTTAAAGATTTTTTAAAATTACTTCTATAAAATAAAAAATTTATTAATTCTATAGAATTAATTTATATATTATAAGAAATATTTAATAAAAATTTTTTTCTATTTTTCTCCTACATTTGGAAATTTTCTTTTTAGGAAATTTTAAGTTGTTTTTTTTTTCACTTTTTCATTTCTTCTATTATTTATTATTATTTTTTTTTTATTTTTTTTTTCATTTTTATAAACCTTTTTTATTATTTATTATTTATTATTTTTTTGCCTCTAATCAGACTGCAAAAGTTGCGTTTATTCATCCAATTTTGGAAAACAGTAGTACAATATATATGGTACTATACTAAAGCTAAACTATCTCGTAATTGCAGAACACCCGTCAATAAATTTAGATTTGTATGTGATCCTTGAATCCTTAATATTAAGACCACCATGTTGCCTATATGATTTAGCTATTTACTAACTATTTCACTACAAGGGAGTAAATTCATTAAGCTATTACTGCATGGTATTAACTATCTT